ACACTGCGGTGTGCGACAAAGGTTACATTACAGATGGACCATGATGAGATCACTGTCCCAACATCTATGAAATGCTTTGTGTAACACTGCGGTGTGCGACAAAGGTTACATTACAGATGGACCATGATGAGATCACTGTCCCAACATCTATGAAATGCTTTGTGTAACACTGCAATGTGTGACAAAGGTTACATTACAGATGGACCATGATGAGATCACTGTCCCAACATCTATGAAATGCTTTGTGTAACACTGCAATGTGTGACAAAGGTTACATTACAGATGGACCATGATGAGGTCACTGTCCCAACATCTATGAAATGCTTTGTGTAACACTGCAATGTGTGACAAAGGTTACATTACAGATGCGCAGTGATGAGCTTACTGTCCAAACATCTATGAAATGCTTTGTGTAACACTGCGGTGTGTGACAAAGGTTACATTACAGATGGACCATGATGAGGTTACTGTCCCAACATCTATGAAATGCTTTGTGTAACACTGCAATGTGTGACAAAGGTTACATTACAGATGCGCAGTGATGAGCTTACTGTCCAAACATCTATGAAATGCTTTGTGTAACACTGCAATGTGTGACAAAGGTTACATTACAGATGCGCAGTGATGAGCTTACTGTCCAAACATTCAGGATTTGCACGCAAACTATTCGTTGTAATTACCTCTAACAGACTACGAATATCCATAACATTGTCTAACAGAAAAATGGGAATGCTCCAATCCCAGAAGTTCATAGCATCGCCAACTGGATTCCAAGTTGTGACGTTACAATCACTGTAGCCATCACCATCCTCCTTCCCATACATTCCTGATCAAAGAAATTTAACAAATTAATTTGATAGAAACCTCGACGGACAATCAATTAAAAACACATATCGTAGCAAATAAGTACTAGCAGACGGTCGACATTTTTCTGATTAATCTAATAAATTTTCATTGAATAATCTACTCAATAATGCAAACTGAAATTTTACCGTAGCCTTCATTAGGGCAACTGTATTCGGGAGAGGAGCCATTAGCTGGTGGGCTAGGATGGGTTACATTGCTTGGGATCACAAGTACGCCATTCACCTTCCCAGAATCCTTCAGTGCTTTCAATGACTTCCTAGAAAACATAATTATAGTACTATTATGAAGCGAGAATGAAAGTTTGAATCATGTATACATGTATTTATTATTGGTATTTGTATCCAGTATTATTTAAAAGTATACAATTTATACATAACATAAACGACAGCCTATACGTGAGATGATAGCGAAAGCTGTACCAAAATAACCCTTTAATAATTACAGAATATGTTACTACTTACATAACAGTCAATAATTACATGACTTAATGGTGAATATCCTTTGATACAACAATTAACATGTGTAAAGATAAGATTTGAGCTGTTTCAATCTATGTATATGATTAACAAATCTATGCATCTAAACTGACTCACAGATTGTAGAAGTCTGAGGTAACAACAGCTACGTAGGGACTGTGTGGTCCTGTGCTTCTCAACCATTCTACATCATCAACATTCTCTATCAAATGCACTACACCAACGTTGCCTCGCTCTGAAGCTAAAGTGTTAGAACATTCTCATTTCACAGGCTTGCAAGTGCATTCATATCTTAGTCTAGATACGTTATGTAACCCTGTAATACGTCTAACGCAACATCAAACATTTTTGTGTGACATTATCACGTTTGCTTGTCAAAGACATACCATAATCAGACGCACAAACGCACGCACATGTACACATACACAAAAACAAAAACAAGATACAGAAACAAAGAAGCTAAACTTAAAAGGATCTCCACAGGATCCCTTTAAATTTAGCTTCTTTGTGTCTGTCATTCTGTATTGGAATTCTCTCTCTTCCTCTTTAGTAAATTGCAAATTTGAGGCTTTTTCTACTGCGATCCACAGTGTTGATCTGTCTATATGATCAACTTTGTCTCTTTCCGTCTTCGATATAGTCCCTTGGACTTTGAAGACTAATATTTATGAGGTTATACACACAATAGTTATTTTGGTTTGATTGTATTACTATGATATGATACAGTAATAACGGGATAGCACTTACATTGACATCCTATCTGATGCGTTCCATTCAATAGCCGAACACATGCAGTTTTGTTATGCATATCAAAATATATTTTGTTATGTATTCTATCACTGCTACCTGTAAAAAAAGAAGCAAAAAAGACAAATGTGTTGCAATTTGTATGTTGGTTTGTAAATATACTCCCTAATATACCCCCGAATATTTTCCCTAATTTTACTCGCTTGTGTTAAATACCAACCACTTACTGGGGTTTCATATATTTAACAAATTAAAAAGCCCATTAGTATTACTTAGTATTCTATTGATTATATACCGGCCGCATAACATGATTCATAATCATAGTCAATGACTGAATGAGTCAAATGTTGAGTGTGATAACGATATGTGACATAGACGGTAGTCTGTACTGAGTCACAGTGAGTGTACCGACTCAGACTCAGTGCCACTGAATAATTACGTTACTTTTCGTTCTACTAGTACAGTAACGGCGCGCACAGTTATTCATGGCTAATGTAATTGTTAGTGGTTTTAGTCTACGTTACAACATACCAAGATTAACCAATATAAATATTAGGAGAGCCTGGAAGGAAATATATTCTTGCTCCATATTGGCTCTGATATTGGATAACTATGCAGGTGCTGCTACCAGGCGGACAATATCGTGTTTTGTATACAAAACAAGAAGCTATGCTATATAGACTGACAACACACGTCGCTGTAGTTGCCACACAAAGTGTGCCTTTCAATGCCAGTAGGGTCAACGTTTACAGTCTGAATAGCTGAGTTAACTTATAAGAAAGTTTGAGTATCAGAGTATGGTGACAGTATTGGGTCTCATACTGTCATAAAACTTGTTATTGTATTTACTTATGAGGTAGTCGATACTCGTTGCATCACAAATACAACAGTGAAAAGTAGCGTTGCAATGAATTTTGAACGAGATGCGTGGTATAACAATCCACGATATAGGTAGGTGACGAGGTCCACATTCACGTGACACTGAATCAGTGAACGAGTAGGTACAGTATACAGTAATACACTGTGACTGAATAAGACTACGGACCCCTGTACTGTGTACAGTGTACTGACAAGTTATACTCAGTGTGACTACATACTCACTACACTCTATGAAACCCACATACCTATGATTTTATGAATTCGCATTTTTTAATTTAGAATTGTGCAATGTACTGTACCTGGTCCCATGATGATGTTATACATTCTCTTATTCTCTGAAAATCTTCATGACTCTTGTTACAATTACATTTCAATTTTATTTTTGTAAGCAGGCATTACTGGAAGCATCACGAGCTCATGAAACAGTGGTACGGCGACTACAAGTCTGCACATCAAGAACTTCATAAATTAGCCACTCTTCACAGCGGCTGGTTGCAGCAGTACCAGCAGCAGATGCTGCACGCGAATTGGTGGGACTGGTACCGGCACGCCACGTCGGAAAGCCTGCACCACTCGGACAGATGCGGCGAACACCGTCGCCCCGACGACGTTCGTAACCGCGACGACTTCCGTCGCCGCGACGACTATGAACGCGTATCCACGGAAACGGACGCATACAGGCAGGCGCCGGAATCGACGACGGATTGCGACGGCCGCGTCGCCGACGGCAACGGCGACGACGACGACGTGGAACTGGAGATGGAGATCACGGAGGAGATGAAGGAATTTTTCGCTATCTCCGCGAGACATCGTCAGGAGCGCGACGCGGCGAAGCGACGACCCACCACGACCCGCGACGCGGCGGGGGAGGAGGGGGAGGGGGATTACGTACTGGCGGAGGACGTGTCGAGTCTGCACATCCGCGCGACGGTGGCGCCACCTGCGGAGCGTCCGGGCGTGCGGCGGGCAGCGGAGATGAGAGAACTGTACGGAGCGGGACACGCGATGATCCACGGGATGGAGACGGCCATGCAGCTGTCCTACGACAGAGACTGCGACATCAAGCAACCGAAACTGTGGCCAAGCATTCCTCTGAACCTCTAGATCACGACCGTAGCTAGCGTGGAGGGGGTAGCCAGCGTGGAGGGGGGCAAGGGTAGCAGCTGGGGCCAAGCATTCATCTGAACCTCTAGATCACGACCGTAGCTAGCGTGGAGGGAAGCAAGAGAGGCAGTTGCCTCCCACAGAGAAATGTAGATACGTTACAGTAATTTACATGGTCAGTGGCGGTCACCTTCCCAGTACACACCACGTGCGCGGCCTTGTCCCCCCAGGTAAAATGGGTTAGATCAGGGTGTGGCTATCGCAGACAGGGGCAATTTGGAGGCAGTTGCCACCCACAGAGATATGTAGATAGATTACGTGGTCAGTGGTGGTCACCTTTCCATAACTTGCCACACACCTTGCTTTGCCACGTCCCAGGCGAAATGGGTTACATACATACGTTCCTGTAGATACACATCTAAACGTCGTCAGGGAAACCTCAGCTCCTGTATATATATATAGGTAGCAGGTCCTTATATAATAATTACGTGAGGAATTGCTACCTGTATATATGCGTAGAGGTTTCAGATTGCATTATAATAATGCAACAGTGTCTTATATTCACTTGTGTGGGTGTGCATGAGTGTTTAGACAAATGTATTTGTAAAATGTTTCAAATGTTTTTTTAAGAGTTTACATCATGTCATTTTGAACAGAGTATTTTAAATGCATATATAAATCATCGGTGCAATAAGATGGAATATATAGCTGTATATGACATTAATATATATGTGTCAGTCCTTCAACACAAATGTGAACACACACGTGCACACGTGCGCATGCACACACGCACACATCAATATTCTGGCTGTTCAGACTTTAATGTTGAAACCAGTTTTTAATGTTGGGTTATACACAATCATCCGAACTCGTTCAATTCAGACTCAATTTCCTGAGGCGTGGGCAGATGCCACACGCTGTGCGGTATATACTTCATTACAATATCGACCTTTTCAGCGACTCTCCGTCGTCTTCGTAAAGCTTTCCGTGTTACAAGAATTAATTTTCCACCGGTTCCTGGTGGAGCGTAGACCCTAGACAACAATGTGGCTTTGGTTTCTGTAACAAGAGGTTGTTTTATGGGCCGAGCTTGCCAACCTTGCGATTTATTGATCGGGTGGACCCGTTGCTACAGCTGGCTTTCACTGAATTTAATCCGGATAAATTGCCTTTCTCAATAGCAACAGCAGCACCCAAGGTGGAATATATGCGAACTCCACACCTTTCGCCTTGAAATTCTGAGTGCTAACCATTAACACGCACACACCGTTGCACATAAAATTTGTTCGCACAAAATACCGTTTTAGAATTGATGGTGCAGGCACCTGCTGACTTTCGTACCCAATCGGATTTTGTTAGACGAACTAACAAAAATGACAAAGAGTCGTTTGGACAAACTCGGCAACTGCCAGCTTTATATGTGCCGTGTACGTTTGCGTAATGAACATCATCATACATCCGCATTCGTGCAGCGCAACTGTGACAACCAAGTACATAGTACATAGACAAAGCGTATTCATAGCATTGTGAATGCAACTGTTTTTTCTTTGTCCTCATATATAGCAGCTAGCTTGCTAATGTTTATCTAGTAATCCGGTAAAAAATGTATATTGCGTCTTCACATCTAAGCAATCTAACTGCTTCCCAGCACTGAACTGAATCACCATCCTAGCGTACTGTAAGGAGCTCTAACTCTCCACACAACAGATTTTTGAGGCTGGGTTATAATTCAGCTTAATGATGTCGAGCCACTCCATGCTAAACTCTCAGTTAAAAAACCTGACGTTAAAAATTGCGTGCAATAGAAAGCGGCATCCCGATTTCAAGGCAAGAAAGGTTTTTAAAATCTTTTCTTTGACGTTTAGCGTGCGCACAAAAAAAAATCAAAAATATAATTATCACAATTCGTAGGCTGTTTTGCCTCTTATTGTCTGTGAGGGCTTCAATTAAATGAATGCATGTGTGTCTCACGCACTAATGTATTTTATTGTGTCAGATTCGCTATGGAAATGAACTGCTGCAAGAAGTTGTGCATCACTCAAATAAAATATATACAATTACACGCGATGTGCCGTGGGTTGCATGCATCATGTTCTATATATATATATAAGAATATTAATAGTTCGTATAATTGTTAAAGAGCTGAACACAGATATCTTTTTTACACGCGCTCCATAACTTATATTCACCTTATGATATCACAGTTGTAGTGCAATATGCGGGCTATTCAGAATGTTGAAAACAGGGGGGGCGAAATGTACCTGGATGGCACGCCAGCCGCTAGGGGGTCTGGGGCATGCTCCCCAGCGAAATTTTGAAATGAGTTTTTAAAAGCCAATTTTCCTGCATCTGATGCTACCGGTGGAGGCCAAATTCTGATGTCTGATGAACACCGAGATATCTCAGCCTATAGATCACCCTTACAATTTAGGCGTTAAAACATTATTTCCATTATTTTTTTTCTGGGGCCTTGCAAAAACAAGGGGCGGGGGGGCGTTAACACCGCGCTCTTTTGCCCTAATGCTGGATACTGCCATGAATAGTTTACCTCAAGCATACTATTATGTGCTAAAGAATCTGTCCCGGAATCTGCACGTAGTAATAAACACTCTCGATGCCGTCGCACGCGAGTACCCAGATCTCTTGCACGCCAGCGCACAGTGCGCATTATTCTGCTTGTTGTCAGTTTAGAGTATGATAGCTGCGATGAGCGTACGTCGCCCGCGACCGACCGACGAATGCAGCAGCAGCGACGGCCAGCGCGGCATCACTACTGGTTCCCATAGTAACTCAGACCGACGGGGACGCCAACGTTCCCAGGAGATACCAGTATGATCGCTGGGGCCTCAGCTGTACGCAGAGTTCGATGTAAGTCTTCCGGCTGACGAATGCGCCAGCGAATTTACGGCCGAAGCTCCGAGGGCTGCGAGAATTCGGCGGGCTGACGGTGGGGATGGGATGTGTCGGCGTCTGCTGCCGTGGATAGATGGGGACGGCTGTAAATCAGGTATGGTAGAGGCAGTTAGAGGGTTTTACTTAACCAGGTGTGTTTGGTGGTTAGAGGGAGGGATATATATAGCCAGGTGTGTTGGGTGGTTAGAGGGAGTGAGATAGCCAGGTGTGTTGGGTGGTTAGAGGGAGTGAGATAGCCAGGTGTGTTAGGCGAGTGTGCGTAGCAGGTGTAGTGAGATAGCCAGGTGTGTTGGGTGGTTAGAGGTAGTGAGATAGCCAGGTGTGTTGCATGGTTAGAGGGAGGGATATAGCCAGGTGTGTTTGCGGTGCGTTAGAGAGGCGAGTGATGATAGCCATGTTGTGTTGGCGATGGTTTAGAGGGACTGAGATAGCCAGGTGTGTTGTGTGGTTAGAGGGAGTGAGATAGCCAGGTGTGTTGCGGTGTTAGAGGAGGCGATTAGTTCAGGGTGTATTGGGTTGGTTGAGACGGTTGAGTGGAGATAGCCAGGGTGTGTTGCGGTGGTTAAGAGGGAGATATAGTCAGGTGTGTTTCGAGTGTAGAGGAGAAGCGGATATAATCACGGCTAGTGTATGTGAGTGAGTTAGAGGAGATGTAGTCATAGCCAGGTGCTGTTGGTGTTAGAGGGAGGGTATCGTCAGGTGTGTTGGGCTGGTTAGAGGGAATCGCTAATAAGTGTTTGCGGTTTTCATTAAGCGACGTATTAGCTGAGTGGTAACCTGTTACAGGGTGCATGTCTAGTTAGATTCAACACTATGCGGTTCCTGATATAAGAGAGTTGCGCATGAGCTCCGGGAAAATCGGTCACGTGACTCGCTGGACGGCTCATGCTTGTTTTCCAATTGATCCACACCGCTGCCAGCCCTTAAGTCTACAGCGCCTGCTATGGATATGCCTGTACAATGGCTCATGTAGTAATTAATTAGACTATGATCAGGTGCTTCAATAAAACTCAAATAATTTACAGGATTATTAGGCTAAGACACGTGTCTATTGTGTATCTAGATTCTAGCAACTGCAAAACACATGTTATCAGCTGCGAGCAGACGTGGAGAGTGGAAACGAATTTATCTTTGTGCAATTACATGTTGTCATTATTCTTCCAAAATGACTAGCCTGCTGTGATGCTACACTGAAGAAAGTTGTACAATTTATGCTATCATATCAATATGGCCCCTCCTCACGCGAACGATTTGAGTTATTTTTCTAGAAATCTACGATATATATAAACACATCGTGTTAATCTAATAATTCCTTTTGGGTATTTCTTTGAGTTTATTGAAGACCGCGAAGTTGGTTTAAATTAATTCAGCCAGAAGTATGCTACCGCGCCGGTCATCGCCACAGATGTTAATATACGCGACGGCTCGGGTGGGCGCTAAGAAATGTGTACACATCTAAACATATCAATATGGCCCGCTTCGCCGCGAACGATTTGAGTTACATTTCTAGAAATCTAGATACACATCAAGACACGATGTCTACCTTATAATCTCTGCTAAAATTTTGAGATTTTATTTCGAAGTCACGATTAGTACTAATTTAACTTACTACGCGACCATCTGTACA